CAAAAAAGTGGGTTACATGCTGGAAAACATTGATATATAAAGCAGCAAAAAAAAACACATAAAACATTTTTAGGGAAAAGCAACTGATGAAACAGAAGAATACCGAAATAAAACATTTCTATAGTCACGTATAAAGTGTTATATCCAATTACGCCCTTTACATGTTTCGAATATTTATGCATTCCGTGCGATGAGCTATGCGTCCTTTATTCTGCCTTGGTTTTGGTAAAGCGATTTTTTTCATGCTTGAGCCTTACACCTTTTCAGAAAATCTAACCCTGAATCATGTTTTCTGTTAAAAACAATATAAAACAACGAAGATTGCAGTTTACGGATATAATATGCGCGCCTGTTCCGCATTTTCTCTCTTTACAATATCATCTTTTGAATTCCTCCTTCACATGCAGGCGTGTTCTTTCCATTGACATTAGAAAATGAACTTTGACTTAGAACATCTGGTGACGTCACGTATGACGACATTAACTACTTTCAGGAAGAGAGTTTACTGCAAGAGACGCAAGCATGTGTGCTTCCGCTTTCGTTGAAAATAGCAGTCCAAGAAGATTAAAAATCGTGAGTCTCAATGGAAGGAATGCGATGTTGAACTCTTTTGGTCAGACACAAGCACTGGCACACTGTCGTATGAGAGACATTGCGAGAGGGCTCAGTAAGTTGTTTTAAGTTCTTTTCTCTTCAACTTAAGAACAATGTTAACATGTAGTCATAATAATTTACAACTTGCGGAGTCACTCCATAATAATCGCCAGCCTATTGGTCTGTGCTTCGCTCGTCGCCTAAGGAGTGGCACAACACAACTAGAAGGGAGCGAATGGATTTACTGTATTTCACGATTACCCGTCCTCGAGAGCTGACACTCCGCGTCCGCCGACCCTGGCGGTCGCCCGTCGTTCAAAGTTCGCAGTCGGAGCCTCTGTCCAGGCCTGAGAATCGTTCTTGCCACGTCAGCGATGCGTGGGCTAGCGGTTCGGGGCCATCACAGCCAGAATTTCGCTGCGGAATTATTCTGAGATCGTCATAGCCGAGGCCGGTATGGCTAGGGCTCGCTGTTCCCTCCGGTCCTGGTCAGAATCTTGCTGGCGGACAGCCCCTGGCATCCCCATGGGCCAGACCAGCCAGACCAGCTCCATTGTTCCTGCCCTGGCCCCACCTCGCGCAACACGCCTTTCTCGCGCCAGCTCGTGTCTCTGCGGCCGACCGCTTGTCCCATGCCCTCCGCGCCGTCGTCTTCCCCGCACGTCTCCCCCAATCTACTCCCCCCCCCCCCCCCCCCTCTCTAGTTCCAGACTTCGGAGGACTTCCGGAACTCGGGATATCATGCACTCTTAGAAAAAAAGAGGTCTATATAGCCCTCCCCAAAGGGAGGAGAGCTATTGTCACCTATGTTCCTTCAAAAGGTGAGAAACTTTCGTCCCTGAAACCATAGAGCAAAGTTCCTCCGTTGCCTGCATCTCATTACGGTGGCCCCGAATCAAGCAAATCGAGCCCAATAAGGCTTAGCGAGGGCGTTGCGTCTATTGTACGGGGCGAGAGGTGCAGCAAATAAAATTGTAACACGCGCTCTTTGCGAACTGCATTTATTTCTGAAGCCAGCTTCTCCCGCCGGTGAAGAAACTTGTGTTTCGAAAGCATTTCATTCTTCTCATGACGACGAGAAGAATGAAAGTTTCATTCTTCTCGTCTTCAGCACTTCGATGTTAAACAGAGACAACCGATACCCCGTTTAATTCGCACACTTATTATTAAATAGCTCAAATAAGTGACATGTAAAAATTCACAAGCTTTGCCAAGATTATCAAAGAAACAGAGTCCCAATTCATTGAAACATAAATACTCTAAATGTTTTTTTTTAATTTATTGAGCACAATAAATTTATTTTGATCAATTTCATTTCCTCCATCAAGCCAGATGACAGATGCACTCATATCATACTAAGCGCCATTAGGAAAGCAATAAGCCACGTCCAAGCCATTCCAGCCAAAAACACTTCTGTCGCTGGAACAATGTACCCCTGGTCAAGATACAACGTCGCTCAGGCAATTCATAAACACACTTAACACATAAAATGAATTGCCAATTTTTATTAATTAGTGACCTTAATGAATTGAGATTGTTAATAGAACCAATTTGAGAAATTAATTTTTGAGTCGGGGTGCTAAAATTTAAGAAGAATACATCAGTAATGCTTTCTTGATTCTTAAATTTACCTGCAAATGAAGCCGTCACATGATTGGCGAGGTAACCTACCTTTAGTTACACAAAAGGTCTCCAGGCGCCCGATCTTTGGGCAAAAGCAAATTTCAGTTGCTTTTGACCATGATTCGATGTCCTGAGAAACTTGCTCTTCTGATTCTGAAAAGATTATAGCATGCTAGGGGCTCTTGAATTCGACGATTTCAGTCAACGCTGTATTCGGTCAAAAGCTCGAAACAGATTGTTTGCCGAAGAATACACTATTACCAAACACGAGCTGAATTGTGGCACACTGCGGCTAGTGGTGATATGCCTCCAGCTGCAGCCGGCGTTTCTGATACAAGGCCATGTAGTCGCCGAAGATGCCCTGAAGGATAACGCTGCCTAGTTAAAAATACCGAGAACGGGCTAGTAGATGTCCAAGATTTAAGTTGTCACCGGTGTATGGGCGGCTGGCCGGAGTCCTTAAGCCGAAACGAAGACTAGAAGTAACTAGCTATTTCCAAAAAAGCCTTATGTGTTATGTTTTAGTTACGTTTAGTTGAGTGCCTTACTGTCGATTCGAATATTTTATGTTGGCGACGTGGAGATAGTGCTTTAATTATTATTACGAGCATATTGAATCAAATAACTGCAAAAAGTATATTTTTCGGCCCGGTCTCCTGTTTCGTGCAGTCTAAGAAAACCTTTAAGAGATTATAAAATAAAGTTTAGGCAAGAATTAACAATTTCATGTTAAATTTTTCTAATCATATATTGTTTAGTGCGTTAAAAATTTTGCACTCGTTTTTATAAAACCCAAACCCTGCTTTTCAGTATGAACATATAAAAATATAGTGGTCCAGTTCTTACTTCCTTACATTCGAAGGATTACCGCATTTTTACTTGGATACATCCGCAATTCACAAGCGCAGTAACCACACCGAACTCACACACAGAAGACGAGCACTGTGTCACTCGGACGTATGTGCTCCCCAACAATCAAGCCGTCGACGAATATTTGGATTTGCGTTCAAGGACAATGAGTGCCGTGACAGCACTTATCATAACTTACGAATGAAAAATTGTATGGTTCTATGCTGTGCTTAAAATGAAAGCCGTTTACAACTCCCTGTAACGCCGAATTAGAGCGCAGCTCTTGAGGAGGAGGGAAGGTTACTGGGGGGTGGGTCAAGTGACCTCGGGGGGCGGGGGGTCACGTGACCTTGGGGGTCACGTAACCTTGTGGGAGTCACGTGACCTTGTGGGAGTCACGTGACCTTGGGGCGTCACGTGACGTCGGGGGGTCACGTGACCTGGGGCCACGTGACGATGCCGATGACGTCGTCAGTGACGTCACTGATGACGCCATCAGTGATGATGATGATGACGATGCGGATGCCGGTGACGTCATCAGTGACGTCACTGATGACGTCATCAGTGGCTATGACGTCAACGGGGGGTCACGTGACCTCGGGGGGGTAACCCTAGTAACCCTTGTGAGGGCAACTCTCGTGACCCTCGTGAGGGTAACTCTCGTGACCCTCGTGAGGGTAACTCTCATAACCCTCGTGACCCTCGTGAAGGTAACCATTTTGAGGGTAACTAACCCTCGTTACCCTCGTAAGGGTTACGAGGGTAAGTAACCCTCACGAGGGTTACTTACCCTTGTGAGGGTTACCCTTTTGAGGGTAACTAACCCTCGTAACCCTCGTGAGGGTTACGAGGGTAAGTAACCCTCGTGAGGGTAACCCTCGTGAAGGTAACCCTTTTGAGGGTAACTAACCCTCGTAACCCTCGTGAGGGTTACGAGAGCAAGTAACCCTCGTGGCCCTCGGATCCTCGTGAGGGTAACCCTCATGAGATTAACCCTCGTAACCCTCGTAACCCTCACGAGGGTTACGAGGGTTGCGGTTACGCCGACGCCGACGCCGACGGCGACGGCGACGGCGACGCCAACGGCGACGCCGACGGCGACGCCGCTCAAGCCGGGAACGGGCCCCTAAGAGCTGCGCTCTAAAAGTACGGTGGAAGCTCCTAAATATCATATTACAAAACCAACACCGTCTGACGATCCGACATGGTTCTCATCTACGTCATTGAAACCAAAATTATTCATACTGTCCAGTCGTAGAAGGCCGACTACTTCGGCCAGAAGGATGGGAAGGCTATCGCTGTAGCTCAAAATTTATCGACAATTGAATCAGACCCACGGAACACGGGCTGCTAACCCCGCCGACCCTCAGAAGAATGGGAGAACTTCGGGTTACGGTGAAATACTACGCTTGACTCCCCATTTTGCTTTTGAGTTGAGGAGGAAATCTAAGGTAAAAGTTCATAGAATCTTTCATTTAATAACAGAGGACGAAGCTTTAGAAAAATATACGCACAGCCGCCTGTTTACTCAGCAGTGTTATTGGACTAACGGTTCAATTAGATCAATTAAGTGCTTGGCCTCTTTCAATGATATCATAAAAACGTATGATCTAAAATCTGTAATAAATAAAAACCAGTCAAATGTGACAACAGTATAGAACTCCAAATTACGGCGATGCAGAAGTTTGAAAGCTTTGACAGTCATGAATCCTGGGAAGAACTGGCCCCGAATGCTCTTTTTAAACTTAATAATGTGTTTTATATTGAGGAATAAATGAATTTATATGAATATATGTTTAAAACTTTCGTACAACCCTTCACGTACAGCTAAATAGAACTCCAATACAGACTCAAGCGACATCGCAAGTAACAACTAATTCTTTGTTTTGTTTCACACACTTGCTTTGCATATTTTCCAGAGGTGATAAAAAAACGACATCATGGAAGCCAGAGCATACTTCACATTACTCGTGTGGACCTTCACAATAAATCACGAGGCATTGTCAGTTGTTGTTCCAAACAATGGTAAGAACTTAGAAGTAACATATATCTCGAATTTTTTGCTTAGGCAAAACGCGACAATTTTAGTATTTGCTAGTTTTTAATTATAGATGTCTCTGAGAAGTATAAGATATGTTTCTCCGTCGCCTGTTAAAAGTGGCCTATACTGTGCCATGAAGGTCGGACAATAAATATTGTTTTTAGATAAATACTGGCGTTGTGAATTAAGGCCTTAAACAAAAAAAAGGGCATTGATTATTTGATATATATACACAACGGCAAAACTCGGATATGCCAGAGAAAGAACAAAAGCATTTAAACCTTTAGAACATACAATATTTCCACAGGTGGAATACACTCTTAACTTTAACATTCATCATTCTGAAGAAAAAGAAGAAAACTGAAGAGAAAATTAACAAGTTTTCAGTGTTTGTAAAAGATTCTTCTCATAATAATTCATTCATTCGTTATTTTTTTCTGCTCATGAACAGCTTTCAGATATACATATTGCCAAAAGCATATAGCAGCTTGGACGCGATGAAAGACGGGTTAAAAACGTCAATGCATAGTGCGTCGATGGCATTATACAAATTCCGAATGTGTGTCATGGGTCAAGTTCGGAAGATTTTATTGACATAAAATCGTCTCGAAACATGAGTTTTAATCGTTGAAGCTAGATCAGGGCAATCAACTGCTTCGTGAAGATGTTTTCAGGCTAATAGAAGATCTCTGTCACGTCTTCTACCACTCAAGGTAGAACAACTGCATCGTTCTAAGAGTCATATATATTCAAAGTAAGCTGTAAGACAGACATACAGATCATAAAAATTCGAAACAAATGCTACCGGACATTTTCAATCATCTCTTTGTGCGTGCGCCCAATACAATTCTTTACGATAGAGGGAAATTTCAGCTTCGGTCTAATTAATAAAAAGTATAACCGCATTATGCTGGCTGACATGAAAATTGCACGTGTACTTCTAGAAACGATAGTATCCTTTATATTTTGAGAAATTATAGAGTACTCTAGCTAAACACGAAGATCACGAGGGCACTCGAGTCTTTGAAGCGAAGCATTCCCAGCTGATATCAAAAGTTAGTAGGCCTTAGCTTCCAAGAAAAAGACATAAAAACAGTCTGGGTTGGATTAAGCGTCGACACGTTCAGACTAGACCAACCACGTACTGATTTCACATCATACATAAGTTTCACAAAGCTCTACACAGCTCAGATCTGCATAAATAGCTTGATATCATCGACGTATTGCAGAATTTTCGAGTGTCCAACAGATGAGCTGAGGTCATTTAAGAAAACGTTAAAAATAATCGGTCCAAGTATGGACCCTTTAGGAACACCAGCGAGGGAAACAAAAGGCCGGAAAAGATGGAATATTGTACCAATATTCCTGGATCATGGTGCAAAGTGAATTACTAATGCCAAATGCTTTAAGTTTTTCGGCAAAAGTAATGAATTATCAACTAAATCAAAGCCCTTTAACTAATCAAAGCCCTTTAAGACACTAAGTTTGTTTCCACCGATCTTCCTCGCAGAAAACCATGTTGTGACTTTCTAATATCTTCAAGCAGGACTATTTTGTAGGCTTTTTGCAAAAAGCCATAAGATCGAGACGTGTTTATAATTTTTTCAATCATTTGCTCTTTATAATACGTGAGGATTAGAACGCTCGTTTTGACGAAAACCATGTGGTGTCTTTAGTTTGTCAGCTACAGGAAGAAAGGGAGAAGGAGGGGGAGAGTGTGGCGTGTAGGAAGCTGCAATTGGTTTGAAGCGCTGACGTCAGCAGGCGTCAACCTTTTCCCCTCCTTCTCCTTCTCTCCCCGTACTGAGAAACTGAAAGACACCACCGGGTTTTTGTCAAAACCAGCCCGTTGGATTTCGTCAAAGTCACCCATACAGCTGGCACGGAGCCAGATAGGAGGAGGCACTGCACAACACCCTCTGGATAATAAAGTCTTATTGCTGATTGAGAACGTGTCATCAGAGAAGGCCAACGCTGGGCACAGATTGGAAATGAGTGCCCCGTCAAAGCTCGGTTTCAGGACAAGTTTGAGCTTTGAGCCGATTGTTGACGCAATCGTCGTGTCCATTCTTGGCCCAGTGTAGTGTTGGCATTCTCTGATGACGCCATCTCATTCAGCACTACGGCTTGGTTATCTAGGAGGTGGCGCGCCGCAGCGCGGTGAAATGCAGGCGCAGTGACGTCACTAGGGTCAGCGGCATCCAGGTCTGTAGCCCGCCGCGATGCCCCCCCCCCCCCCCTTATCACCGCTTTCGTGGCCTGCTGTGAACCGCCCCCCCGCCCTCCTCTCGTGACCGCGCGACCCCCTCCCCTTTCACTGACCAGCTGCACCGGCTGCACCCCCATAAGCGCCCCCCCCCCCCTCCCCTGGCCCGCCCTTCTGACACCCCTGTGCACGCGTGCACAGTTGCCACTCAGCCGTCGCAGGTTTGTCTTCGCTGTAGGTTTCCGTAGTAGCGGTGCGTGGGCTGAGATATGTGTGTCTAGTTAAAATGATGCATGTGGTTGCCTCCACGAGTGATATAAATGCTTGTCGATTCAACAGACCGATCTCACACGCAGTTTCATTAAGCCACCGCTGCCGCCGTGCATCCTACGAACTGTAGTATTTCTGCACGAGCGACAACTCCGATGAGGGTCTGCGCGAGCAGAGCAGGTAGCCGCAAGAGCTGTTCGTGAACTGGCACCTGTCTCTTACAAACTACGGCTATGGCGGCGTGACGCACGCGTGGAACTCTTAGTGAGATCGGTCTGTTTGGCTGCGCTATTAAGGTTTGCTTTCGTCAGAGCAATATGGAACTATTATTTGCGCCTTCAGCGGCAACCGTCTCAGTCACGCGCTCCAAGTAGGTCTTTCGTAATGTTGGAGATTCTATCTATTTCCGTGCGTCTTGTTAATAGTAATGCTAAATATTAAACACGTCTCTTTTATTATTATATATATATATATATATATATATATGTATATTTAATTACATGTTCTTTCTCTTAAGTTACTTGAGTGTTTATTTTTCCTGTTTCTTGCTTTATCTAACCATATTCTCCAGCCAGTACCCCCACCTTGTGTAATGCCCGTAGGGGCCTTCAAGGTTTAATGAATGATGACGATGTTGATGATGATTACCTGCCACTATATTTGCTACATATTTTACTTTGAAAATGCTCTCCCACAGTCGTGAACGGCGTTTGTATGACAAGCAAGTGCAAGGAAGTTGGTAAGCTGTTGGAGAGGTTCTTTTTTATTTTAATATTAACATATTCGATGACAAGCAGAAGTAAACAAAGGACACATTATTACGTTCTTGTCCACTTTGTTTACAACCAAGTTGGATTAGAGACTGTCAATGGCTGCGTTTGCATGGATCCAACCAAAGCGCATCGAATTCAACTTTGACAATTTGGATTGGCAACAGATGGGTAGAAGAGGAAGAAGTAGGAAGACAGGCTGCGTGCGATTGGTCCATGCTCGATTAAATGCGCCACGATCGCATTCATGCTTACCTAGCCAGTGACATCTTTTGGCACAAGCAGATATGGCGCGCGACATGATGAGCCCTGCCACCGAGACCTAGCTTTCCTTTTCTTTGGTACATCGATTCGAATAGTGGGCTGAATTTGTGAATTAGGCGCGATTAGAATTCATCGTGGTTTTATTTCGAGTGGAAATCTAATTCTAGCACTGTGGCCGTCATGTTTTGAATTGCGTGCTCGGAGGAGTTACATGTGTCTTGAGAACTGTGCATTAGAGCTGAACAATTACGGGCCAGTAGGAAGATATAGAGTGTAGCTACATATAAGCTGAACACACGATTTTAGACTGCTCCGCTCTGGCAACGTCATGAAGGGACGTCCACGGCAGCGTGTGGGCGTTTCGAATCAAATGTCAAGGCAAAAGATTACGTGCGCAAACTTCCGCGGCTGTCGTTTTATGTCGCTGCCACAGCAGACCTTCTAGACTTCCTAAATAGTCTTTCCGTAGGGGCGTCATAGTTAAACGTTTTTTTTTCGCGGCCGCCGCACCGCTTTTCGCCGTATTTAACCACGTGACAAATAAAAATCTAATGCTGAGCGAAAGCGCCTTTATTAGGGCCACTCCACAGCTCCATTAGTCGCTAGCCACTAGATAGGCACTATAGTCAAATGTGTCTATGTATCTTGATTTTGCTTGAGGTCGTACTAAAGTGAACTAGGGGAGGGATAGCGACCTCCGCCAGCGCTCACGGCTGCCGTACCTCGTGTCGACGGCACGAAAGGGCACCACTAAAGCATGGGCTGTATGGCTCATGCTTCGCATCGCATTTGCTGCTCTGCTGGCGTTGTCATCGTCGTCGTCGTCGTTCTCATCGTAGGCGATTCAGCATTGCACTGAATTAGATATAAGCGACAAAGAACACGAGGGAAAGTTCAGAGGCACGCTTCACGAAGAGGTTCTTAGCTTACGACAGCTTAGCCAAGAAGTTCGTAAGTTAAGAACATCGTAAGAGGAGAAATCGGTATTCACGAACGCGTTCTTAAGTGGGAGGAGGAAAGCGACGTTCTCGTACGGAAAAGCTAGAATTCACCGGTGCTGTTGCCATGGCGATGGCGTCTTCGGCAGCACGAACAACCAATTGACGATTTGCAAAAAAGTGCGCGCCACCTATCGCGCAACGCCGGAAACTTGGGTGCGAGGCTAGAAGGTGGTTGGAAAACAACTCGTGCTGCATGGTTTTGGTTTGCCTTGGAGCTCGTGCACGCAAGCTGTCCTCCGTGCTTCCTCTTCTCCATTTCCCGGTGCTTCGATGGGAGATGACAGTGTCCCGTTTCGGGCCAAGGGGTGGGTGTCGGACGTGTCGCCCTGTAGCATCTCAAGTGATAGCGTCTGGAGCTAGCTGAACTCGGTCACACATACAGTCCGTCAGGCACATCGTGGTTGGGCGTTCAAGGAAGAGGGATGCGTTCCGAACGTCATGCTCAACGTCGACACCGCAGACAAGGAGCTCGGTCTTGTGCGAGCGACGTGTGCGCCGTCCATGAAGAGCGGTGTGAACGTCGTGTCGGCGCAACACAGTGGGCTGGCATGGCGACAAACAAATCAAACCCGCTTCCGCGCCTGTTGCCGCCTAGGAATAGCCGTCACGCCCATTTGTTTTCCAACCGAGCAGGGGGCGCTGGCAACAACACACTCTGCTCGCGCATGCGCAGCAGCTTTTTTGCAAATCGGCAATTGGAGAGCTCGGCATGGTTCGGAGCCATTCGGAGCCCGTGGATTTTTAATTACAAACACAAGCGGTCTTTCCGCCACCGCTTGTCTGGGCTTCGTGTCCATGCAGGGATATGTCGACGCTAACACGATTTAAACGCGCCCAAATGCTGAAACCGGGATACTTAACCGCCTTCGTTGACTGCTACGAACTCGATCGCTACGTAGTCACAACAAATGTCATCGTTGGTAAAAGACGGCCCGTGCCAGTCTTTTGCAAAGCGACGTAGATGGAAACGGATCACCGTGGCGCGTTTCGCGGCCTCAGTGATGCAGGAGCGAACCGACGTTAAAACAATATACGTTTAAAACTTTAAACTACGAGAGTGTCACCAAGAGCCACGTAAATACCAGTGCACACTTGGAGCGGACGCGCGTGTTTGATCGAAGTGCTGGATTTGCTCTGTTGGACCGCGAATTGGTAAGCGCCTCAGGACCGGTTGCTTACACTCGGCAAAGAAAGGTTGGACCGGCATTGCGTAGCTCACACGAACAGCTATAGCTCGACTGTGACGTTCAGTCGTGTCAGAATAAAAATGGTATACTAATAACAAAGTGTACATACCGTGCTGCGAAGGTAATCCGTATACCGTTTATTTGAGCTCTATATCACACAAAACAAGAAGGTAGAATCATTGTGAGTCCCTTTTCGACGACAGCGTTCGTCACCGCTGCCTCGGAAAACAAGGAGATGACAAGGGGAAGCGATTGACCTCTTAACCTAAAACTGAAGTCAGCGATCAAACTATTGATACGGGAAGGATACACGAGGGTCGCACGGGCATATTTCATTCAGCTAGCCAGCCGGTTGTGGGCAGACGGTCTTGGCCAAGGACCGTCGGAGCAACGCTGCACCGAGTCGGAGTGCCTGCTAAGCCTATATTCTGCCGAGGTCGCTTTCGCTTGGTCGGTGGAATCGTCGTTGTAGCTTTTCCCGGGTGTTTGTGGATCCAGCGTTCTTGTTCGCTGGGTCCACGCTTGAAAACGTTCCCCGCTAAATTTCGCGGAAAAATTTTTTCAGTAAATTTAGCAGAAACATTCACCCGCTATATTTAGCGAAAAAATATCCTCACAAAATTTAGCGGAAAAAATTATTCGGCAAATTTAGCAGAAACGTTTCCCCGCTAAATTTAGCGGAAATTTATTTCCGCTAAAAATATTTAAAACATTCCCCCCAAAAGTAGTGGGAAAATTTTCCCGCTATATTTAGCGGAAAAAACTTTCATCTATATTTAGTGGAAAAAGTTCCCCGCTACATTTAGCGGGGAATTTTTTGTGTTGAATTTAGCGGGAAACGTAGCGAAATTTTCCCGCTAAATTGAACGAGAGGAGGAGGGGAGGAGGAGGAGCATAGCCTCCCCTCCATACCTTCCACTCCTCCTCCTCGAGAGCTGCACTCTAATTCGGCGTTACAGGGAGTTGTGAACGGCTTCCATTTTCTCACCATGCTGTCAGCTGAAGAAGTGGACATCACGCGTGTGACATCAGGCGCTTAAGGGAACACTCGCGGAACAATGGCAACTTGAGTATACCACCGCATTCGAACTCGAGGGGCTAGGTTTATCCACTCTGTCTGACGTTAATATGGCTCCTGGGCGCGTGAAGAGTCGCTTTCCCGCATAACTTTAAATTCCAGCAAAGAAGAATGCGCAATTCTGCTCCCTATGGGAGGTCATATAATGGAACTTGCTTCCAACGGGAAGTGTCGGCAATTGCAAGCTCGCTTTCATATTGATCGCGACTGTACACACCAAGCGCCACTGATAACTGAAGGTTTCACGGAAATCATACAGCTTGAGTCGCAAGATATGAGAAGGATCTAATCGTTAAGATTGTTGATGCCTAATATGCACAAGCATCAAACTTTTTTAGATATGAAGACTCATTCCCATATAAATCAGCATAGGAGACGACAAGGCATATCCGCGATCTATCGATTTTTAAGATTGGAAGTTCAGTTAATGCACTCGGTGTATATTTCTGTTTAAACTTTTTTAAAAAAAAGCTGGTGTTAAAAAGAAACGAATTAAAGGTGAATTCTAGCATATAGGTTGTCTTGTTACTTAGAATATGACAGGCATTTGACCTGAACGCATCAGTAAACGCGAGGAAAACCGAAAAACCAACCGCTGTGTGTCACGTCATACCCAGAAGTTTCAACTATCGTTCACTTGACGCTGATGACGGAACGCGTGAAGCGTTTTTGACTGCTCGGGTAAGGCTTGCGGAAGCCGCAAACATGTTAAGATTTCCTGTCTAATGCGCCACGATCCTCTCCTTCACCGCAAACGGCAGCGAATTCAGGAAAGAGAGGCTTCAGCGCCTTTTTGAAAGTGCTGCTCTGACTACTTGGCGCATCGATCTGAGATATTATTTTAATATGCATATACTACTGGGTGTCAAATAAGATGATTTAAGTGTTTTTTTCACATATCCAGAAACGCTTCAGTTAACATTTACATTCCTGTTCGGCGCTTTGACACTTGGTGTGAAATGTAGATTACATAGCTTAAGTACCTGCTTTCTTACCGTCTCTTGAGATTCGGGGAGGAGGGGAGGGAGGGGGAGAGGGGGTGGTGAGAAACTTGATAATTTACGGAGGTACGTAGAATGGCATGCTTCGATGCTTTTGGAGGTTGTGCCATATTTTAAACATTTAAAATTACTTCACCGATCACATTTTTTTTTCTTTTTTCTGTGAGACCTACAAGTTATAGAGTTGAGACCTGCAGAAACCCATAATGCAAAGTCTTGCATGATGGGTTTATGAAGGCTTACAGAAGAGATTGTTAAACTGACCCTTTTTCTCAAGGCTTTTTGTATGTAGCAGTACGTCAAAAATAAATACAAAGTAAAAATTAAAAAAAAAAAATATATATATATATGGTGTTTTCATTTTTTCGGCATAAACTTTGCTTTATAGCAAAGAGCATTCTTAGGGACATGGACCAATCGGTGTCGCCTTGTACCGACTTTTACGGATTTGTGTGCGGAGGATGGATTAAAAGGACCGAAATTCCGGAAGGAGCGACATTTATCAGCCGATTATCGGAAGCCGCACGGATGGTGGAAGACAACATGAAAAGTGAGCGTTGAATCTGCCTTATTAATCGTTTTTGGTGTTTGAACATTTTCAATGATAAAAAAAAATTCCAGGCGCTGTTTTGTTGCTTTTGAAAACTCTAAAAGACATGGCCTATGCACGACGTCAATGTTATTCAATCCCTGACCCGCCCCAACACATAGAGGCTGGTGGTCGATGAGAGCACGCCACTAGGCGGCAGGTGCGTGGTGAGTCTCGCGTCGCACCGTGCTAGTGTCCCGCTCGATGTGAGGCGCCTTAAGACATGCTAGCGGTTTCGCTGAGGCAACTAGGTGGCGCTCCGTGGATCTACTAATGGTGACATTTGGGCGGGGGGGGGGGGGCAAGGCTGGGGAGCAAGGGGGGGGGGGGGAGGAGACGCAGGCTTTCTTTACTTAGGTGGCATTGTTTTAAGGCCCTGACGTAAAGATCTTCAGTAAGAGGAGCTTTGCATGGGGCGCCACAAAGATCACTCGAGACTTACTTACTGAATACCAGCTGAACGTTCGGAAAAGCGACGAAGAGAGAAAGAAACACACTGCTGGACTATCAACCCTTTTAATAAACTTCCTTTTCCTCAACCCAATCCTAAAAGGGTAGCTTCTTCATCTTCAGTCAGAGCTTAGACTTAAACTTCATTTTTCTCCTCACGAACCGTGGTGTTCTCCACCTCTTCGACTTTCCCCATCCTTAAAAGGGTAGCTTCTTCTTCTTCAGTCAGAGCTTAGACAGAAACTTCCTTTTTCTCCTCACGATCCGTGGAGTTTTTGTCTTCTTCGATTTTCGGATCTTGAAATATTTCCTTCCTTTTTGTCTTTTATACTTCCGGTGGTGTCACCCTCGTTTCACTCGGTCGGATCTTGGAGTCACAAGGTCCCAACTTGGTTCATCCGAGGTGCCGCTCTCCTCAGATACATTTTTTCTTTGGGAAAGAGCGCAATGGAGGCAACACTAACGCATTCACCTTCCCCCTCCTCAATGGCCAACGCCTCAAGGAGCTCCCTTCCAAGCTGCTTTCGGTGTTTTGCTAAGACGGTGACGCTTGTAATTTAGGAGCACATTTGCAGGCCCGACAATGTGCCGAAAGGTGGCCCGCCGACGTTAGTGCGGTCACAGAGGCTGCATGTTCTCTGGTGCGGTCGTTGATGCACCTCCCTGTTTGTCCTATGTAGCTTTTGCCACATGACATAGGGATCTTGTAAACAACTCTTTTTTCGCATGGGGCGTAGGGTGTTCGATGCGCAGTGCTGCAGGTCGTCGTCCCGTTCTGGGCGGTTTTCCGGTTCACCCTACGGCACATGGCGTACGCCTTGTTGGGGGCGGAGCACCCAACGTGGATGCCTTGTCGGCCCTCGATCTTTTTTAGCCGATGAGTAATGCCGTGAACATACGGGGCCACTGCGAAAGGCGTTGGGGGCTTCTTTTGCGTTGTTTGATTCTTCTCAGGATTTTGACGTACTTGTCTACAAAGCTTTTCACATACCGGTACGAGGAGGGTTCTCGAGTATCCAGAATCCTGGAGTCGACCCAGCTGTCCTTGAAAGCAGCGCCCAACCTTATGAGGGCAGGACTTCTGTAGCGCCGAAATTAAAGCTCTGGTGGCCAACCCCCGTTTTACATTTTTGGAATGTTCCGAGGTAAACGGAAGGAACCCCTTACATGAACGGGGTTCATAATTCCAGCACAGATGGGAAGGTTGAAACTCCAATCAGAGGTCTAAAAACCGTATGGAATTGTTGACGGGAAGTTCATGGGTAAAAGCCAATCCGTGGCAGCTATGTTCGAAGCTGCGCATGACCACGTGTAAGCACCCGTTTCTCTCCTCATCTGCATCAGAGTTGCTTAGTATGAGGAAGTCGTCAACATACCGTAAGATGGCCTCGATGAGTTGATCCTTTAACTGGTCTTGAATGTTCCTCCCGCACGCTGCTAGAAATAGATCGCTCAAGTAGGGGTCCATTCGAGACCCGATGCACACCCCGCTTTTTTGTAAGAATAGCTGATCCTGGTATGACACCACCGTCGCAGAAAGATATGCCGTCAGGAGCTCGAAGAAGCTGTCAAGGCTCTTCCCTGTTGAATTTTGAAACCCTTGAAGACCCTGCTCCTCAATGGTTTCTCGGAGGACCTTGAGGAGAGCCGCATGGGGAATGGAATAGTAGAGGTCTTGGATGTCCAAGGAAAAACCTGATACAATATCAGAACCCTTCTCCTGAAGAAGGCGAATCACTGCTTCAGAGTTTGGTATCCGGAAAGGATCGCCCGAAGGGTTAGGACAGAACCCAAAAGCACGCCACTCCAGATCATCGGAGATATGTCCCTTTCAGCATCAGCCCGGAGGGTGCTTAAGCAGGGTCCGAAGTTCGCCCTTCCACCAAGGTTAAGTGATATCGATAAGGTCCTAATGGTACGAGAAATCGCATCTAAGGCGCCTCAGAAAGCAACCTCACAAATCATCAACCTGGGTCTTGAGTGTTTGGCAGGCATAAAGAGCTTGGGACCTCCACGGATGAGTTTTGCCTCAACGGTGGAGGAATTGCGTCGCAAGACCCTTCCATTGTGTCTCTCAGACAAGAAGGGGGGGTTTGTAGTTCTGGACTCTGGGTCGTATGGAGACAGAGCAACACAAACTTTAGCGAAGAACTTCAAACAAGTGAATCAAGTTCAAGTCAAACCAGCCAAACGAGCCATACTCAAGATACTCGAAAAAGAGCAAAGCCGTGGGCTAGTCACAAAAATCAGAGGAGCCCAACGAGGGGACCTAAGCGTGTTCTTCTCGGCAAAGACACATAAGGAAGGGGTCCTTTTTCGTGCCATTGTCTCACAGCAACACACCTGGCAAGGGCAAGTTTCACTTCGGTTGGCGAAATACCTATCACAAGTTGAAGTAAAGGGTCCTTTCCGGATACCAAACTCCGAAGCAGTGATTCGCCTTCTTCAGGAGAAGGGTTCTGATATTGTATCAGGTTTTTCCTTGGACATCCAAGACCTCCACTATTTCATTCCCCATGCGGCTCTCCTCAAGGTCCTCCGAAAAACCATTGAGGAGCAGGGTCTTCAAGGGTTTCAAAATTCAACACGGATGAGCCTTGACAGCTTCTTGGGGCTCCTGACGGCATATCTTTCTGCGACGGTGGTGTCATACCAGGATCAGCTATTCTTACAAAAAAGCGGGGTGTGCATCGGGTCTCGAGTGGCCCCCTACTTGAGCGATCTATTCCTAGCAGCGTGCGGGAGGAACATTCAAGACAAGTTAAAGGATCAACGTATCGAGGCCATCTTTCGGCATGTTGACGACTTCCTCATACTAAGCAACTCTGATGCAGATGAGGAGAGAAACGGGTGCTTAGACGTGGTCATGCGCAGCTTCGAACATAGCTGCCACGGACTGGCTTTTACCCATGAACTTCCCGTCGACAATTCCATACGGTTTTCAGACCTCTCATTGGAGTTTCAACCTTCCCACGTGTGCTGGAGTTATGAACCCCGCTCATGTAAGGGGTTCCTTCCGTTTACCTCGGAACATCCCAAAAACGTAAAACGGGGGTTGGCCACCAGAGCTTTAATCTCGGCGCTACAGAAGTAATGCCCTCATAAGGTTGGGCGCTGCTTTCAAGGACAGCTGGGTCGACTCCAGGATTCTGGGTACTCGAGTACCCTCCTCGTACCGGTGTGTGAAAAACTTTGTAGACAAGTACGTCAAAATCCTGAGAAGAATCAAACAACGCAAAAGAAGCCCCCAACGCCTTTCGCAGTGGTCCCGTATGTTCACGGCATTACTCATCGGCTAAAAAAGATCGCGGGCCGACAAGGCATCCACGTTGGGTGCTCCGCCCCCAACAAGGCCTACGCCATGTGCCGTAGGGTGAACCGGAAAACCGCCCAGAACGGGACGACGACCTGCAGCACTGCGCATCGAACACCCTACGCCCCATGCGAAAAAGGAGTTGTTTACAAGATCCCTATGTCATGTGGCAAAAGCTACATAGAACAAACAGGGAGGTGCATCAACGACCGCACCAGAGAACATGCAGCCTCTGTGACCGCACTAACGTCGGTGGGCCACCTTTCGGCACATTGTCGGGCCTGCAAATGTGCTCCTGATTTCACAAGCGTCACCGTCTTAGCAAAACACCGAAAGCAGCTTGGAAGGGAGCTCCTTGAGGCGTTGGCCATTGAGGAGGGGGAAGGTGAATGCGTGAGTGTTGCCTCCATTGCGCTCTTGCCCAAAGAAAAAATGTATCTGAGGAGGGCGGCACCTCGGATGAACCAAGTTGGGACCTTGCGACTCCAAGATCCGACCGATTAAAACGAGGGTGACACCACCGGAAGTATAAAAGACGAAAAGAAAGGAAATATTTCAAGATCCGAAAGTCGAAGAAGACAAAAACTCCACGGATCGTGAGGAGAAAAAGGAAGTTTCTGTCTAAGCTCTGACTGAAGAGGAAGAAGCTACCCTTTTAAGGATGGGCAAAGTCGAAGAGGTGGAGAACACCACGGTTCGTGAGGAGAAAAATGAAGTTTAAGTCTAAGCTCTGACTGAAGAAGAAGAAGCTACCCTTTTAAGATTGGGTTGCGGAAAAAGAAGTTTATTAAAAGGGTTGATAGTCCAGCAGTGTGTTTCTTTCTCTCTTCGTCGCTTTTCCGAACGTTCAGCTGGTAATCAGTGAGCATGGATAACCAACCGGCTCAGCTACAGGCCATCACTATCATTCGAGACTCACGAAAGACATAAAAGCGAGTAAACACCGTAGAATAGTACAGAGAGGTAGGTAGTTTTCGACTTTCATGTAGTTTGTCTTTTACAATTCATGATCCCTAACTTGCTTGCTTCCAAAACGTCCCGGTGTTAAGCAGTCCCCAAAAAAGTAGGTAAGCCTAAGACGAGGAAAAACCTGCCAAAATCTTCGAGCGCTCATAAATGTATAAGAAAAAAAAAAAGGGGTATGGGCCGTTCGTCGAAAAAGAACTCGTAATAGGGCAATTCGAAGAGGGCAAATTGTCGCGTAAGGCATTTGGTCGTAGGGCGATTCGTCACTGGGACAACTTGACGAAAAACCGAAGGCAATGTCTAAAGATCTTGTTGCCCGCGTACTTGCTTTTTTTTTTAGCGTTCGTTCGTTTTTATTATTCGTCTTCTGCGTAATATCCTGCTTAGAAAATTGGGTATTTTGTTTCCTTTTAACTTGAACAACATTTTAGTGCCTAGTTCGACGCTCAGTAGAATGCTGCGGACCAACAGCGTGTAGGCATGTTACCACGGGTTACACGCCATTGTTGATAAGTTTCTTTATTCACCTTATACGTCTCGCATGCACAATCCACAATTTTAATCTCGTATTTGTAAGGCCCCCGATATGATTTTGCAAATCAACGTAAGGTTGTTTCACCAAATCTCTGGGCGTTCCTGAAGTCACCAAAAATGAGCAAGCTATGATGGAATGAAGCTGAGCCGAGCTGCGAGCGGGGTCATCTCCACGAGGGTGTCGCGGAAGCAGGCAGCAACGAGAGGCGACTCCTGGCGATTCCCCATCGGTATAACGGGGGCGATAGCATGGACATTGTCGATGCATGTGCCAGGAATATATCATTGTGTACGATTTTGTTGTCGGTAGAATGACATTGATAAAAAAATCTTTATTTAACGTACTTACTCTTTTTTACGCGCTCTTTTTTATAAAGTGAAACTTTTTTTAGCTCTTTACTTGAGTTTTTGCTTTGACGTACCGTTGCTTGTTTTGCGCAGTTTATGTGTCTGCGATGGCCCAAATTTAGCTCGTCGACGTGCGCGAGGCACGCTGACTGCGCATGCGCGACCGAAACATTTCACGTGTCACTCCACAATTACGTGGCCATTTGCCATCCATTTCTTCCATTAGTGACTGAGAGAGGTTCCAAGATTTTGCTGGACAAGACGGTTACTCACTGCCTCTCAGAAATTAGTAAAAGTTTAATGATTTGGGCCGAGAAAAGCTACCGCTGGTAATCGTAAGAACAATGCTCGATAAACACAAGAAATGCTAAGAAAATAAGGAATAACTATGAATAGTTTGACGAATTGTCGTAGTGACGATTTGCCCTATGACGAGTTGCCCCATGTGACAAACAACCCAGCTACCAGTTGACTCGCGACGAAGTGTCATTCGACGAACCTACTACAGACGAAAAAAAAGATTTTTCTTGTAATAGTTTTTTTTTTTTTAGAACTGTGGTTGTGCTGGCAGAAGATGCGGATGCCTCGTACTTGAGGAGTAACATGAAGTTACGTGTTTTATAGGTGCATTTTTGTTTATTTGTTTGCTTCCTCATTGGAAAGCTGTCTAGAAAAAATAAGAAAAGTAATATGCGTGTGTTGGAATCATTTTATGCGATTATTTTTGCACTCTCGTACCATAACGCCAGTGACTATCTATTTTGAACGTTTCTCTGACTATTTATTTCCAGAAATCCTTGAGAAACACATGGAAAGTCAACAAGAAAAAGTTTTAAATTTAATGGCGACTGCTTACAAAGTCTGCAAGGATACAGGTAGGCTTACGTTTGCATTTCACATAAATTGCTTCTGAGAGCTGGTGTGTAAAAGACCTTCCAGATATATTACATTGTTTACCATGTGACAACTGGATATGGCTCTGTCTAAGGAAAACATTTTTCTGCTTTCTAAAAAAAAAAAACACCTCATTACCCTGTGTATTTGCACCCTTCGTTAAATTAAAGTGACGAACGATATTTTTATGTGTTAAGTTTTGCCCCGTGAAGTTCCTGTTTAATACGTGTATATTTGGTTGTATATTTCCAAGAGTAATTTGTGTATGTTTTTATGCTGATTTCGTACCTATAAGTGGATATTTTTATATCTACATATTTTTCAAATTACTGCAACAATGACCTGTGGTAGTCGCGGGTTAAATTAACGAACAAATAGTGCAGCGCCCATGTAGCGCCACTGTACAGTCGTCGCCTCAGACCTCCACTAGGGTGTATAACTACCAGGCGCGCGGCCTGGTAGCGGATACGCCTAGAGCTTGGATAAAGACAAAGCTTTAATGGCCACTGAAAAAAAAAATACGTTTTTTATTCAGTTTGATTAAGACACGAGTGTAAAAAAAAAATTATTTTACGTGGAGAAAAAACATTTTCAGAGAAATATTGACGGCACGAAACGCAATTTAGTCGGTAGTCACCTTCTTTTCCCTTGTTTTCTTTCTCTGGATTTCCGGCGCGTGGAGGAGAGGTGGATCAGCTTCGCCTTCACGTTAAGGTTGAGAGAGTGTGTGATCATTTCGCTGAGGTGGAAAGAGTATATGACCATTCCGTGACGTCATAAACTTTGCGCGCCGAATTTAAAGTAAATCTCGCGCCGTCAATATTTCTCTAAAATATTTTTGCTGTCGTAAAATTAATATTTTTGACACGATTGTCTCAACCAGCTTGTTTAGAAATATTTTTTTAAGGGGCCCTGCAAACGACTTTTTTTTGTCTCTAATTTGCACCGAACCCTATTTTAAAAGTTATTAGATAATTTACAAGTAAATCACCACGCAAAATATCGCCTTCTCTATGAAGTCCCTGGTCCTGGCCTGGCTGGCCATTGATAAAAGCGAAGCGACTGGCTAATCGGCTGCGGCTTACGCTGATGGTCGCTTCGCTTGCAGCCGCGTGCGCGTCAACGGCTCGTCGCTTTTGTCAGCCCTCCACCGCGCTGCCGGTAAGAATTTACCGGGTCTATCGGAGCCGGAGCTCCGAATCCTCAATAAAGGTGTGGAGCTGTGAGTAGTGCCGTACTAGAACACTCTTTGTAAGCGTCCGGAGTGCGCTGGCGACGCGTCTCGGCACCAACTCGACGACGCTCAAGTTCGGGGCAAGTTCCGGGTGGGTGTCTTGTGGCGCGAGACCACAGGAAACCAATTCGTACTTACGCTTCTTGCAAAATGTGCCGCCAGTGTCGTGCGTCGTCTTCTAGGATTCGCGGGGCGTTTGCGCCGACCTGCGCCGCCTCTTCCACCGCTTGGTGGCGAGTATGCCGACTGGTCATATCGCGTTGATTTTTGGGAGCTTCCCGCGTCGTCCGGTTGAAATATGACGGACTGATATTTTGGGACTCCCTCCACGCCCGCTGGGTTGCCCTAACAACAAGAGATGTGGAAACAGCAAAAAAAAGGTAGACGCTGAAATAGGATGGCTTGGCCGCTTTAAAATGTGTTGATTACAAAAGTATACTGATTGCGCTGTACCACTCGGCATACATTTTTCTTTTGCCACGGCCGGTCTGGATACGCTCTCGCTGTCTTATGGCCTCTCGAGTGAGGCATAAAAGCACCTGTGATTGCAGTGCAGCACTGCCACGCAGATGGCTGGAAGAGCCACTGGACGGCCGAGAGCTGCGCCGCAGCGCGGTCAATGGATACGTCCGGTTGGACGCGGTCATACGATGCCGTCCGGTTGGTGAAAGGGGCACAATATCTGTATGGGCGCATGCCTTTCCCTCCTCACCTGCACACCGAGCGGCACTACAAACTTTTAAGTGCAATAAATACTATCACTATATGGGAGAATACCTTTTTATGGGTTTGCAGTTAAAGGTACGGGAGCGCGTGCATAAAACCAGTGTGGTATACCCTTGTTCTGTTCGCATTCCTCTTGGGGGGCCAGCACAACTGCCTTTCGATTTCTGCTTTATGGAGCAGATGTTGACTGCTTCAAAACAGGTTCACGTCCGGCTTCCTTGAATGCGAGCGTTAGGTCTCTCGAAGACCCATCGAACAGGTTGAGCCCGGCTCCAGGGGCTAGCTTCTTTATGCGGTATCCCGGTAGCTAATCCCCAGGTGTAAAGTTCCTGCTGCACACAACCGTGGGTGGAGATTTATCGTTTACAAGGTTCTTCCTAGGTGTCCACTTCATCTACGCTGTGCTTAACGATTCATCGCTGGGTAGCTGGTGGAAAGACACGCCAGAAGTCTTCCCTGATAGCGACTTGCAATTCGAGACACAACAGAAAACCGTTTTGCCGCGTAAAACATAATTTGTTGAGCAGCAGTGTGGAACGGCTTGAATAGTTGGGTCGCAGCGCCACGACGCAGGGAGATGTGCATGCTTTCTCCTGTGACGGAACAGGTCGTATGAAAAAGAAGCGCTCAAGTCCAGTTCGGCTGTTGTTGTGCGAACGTTGTCATTGTCAAAGTGCAGGCTGCATTTTTCTAGAGAGATGCTTTGTCGGCTTTCTTACCATGTCGATGATCGCCATGACTCGCTATTTCGACTGTTTTACAGGGAAGAAGACGTAAATAATTTTATAGAGTAAGTAAGTCGGTAAGATTAAGGTTTGAATGGCACAGCGGCAACGGCGGCCATAATGCGCCAAATAAAATGTGTATTAAAGTTTAAGAAAAACAGATGCTAGGTTACAGAAACTTTTTATAACTGGCGTAGATAGCCAGTTTTGTTGATAAAATCTAAAACCCGTCTAAGTGGTATTAAAGCGTTGTGTTCAAGGAAAATCATTGGATGAAAGGACAGTTGGCTACTAAAAAGTTCAGAAAAACATGATACGCGCAGTTGATGATAAAACCTACACTTCCATAGAATGTGTAAAACTGTAAGTAATTCCATGCAATGGACACTAATTGCCACATCTTCGCCACAGTGAAGGTACATGTGTGTCAAACATGAATGACCAATTCTCAAGCGGCACAGCAGAACCTCGAGATGGCGGTTTTTGTGAAATTAACTTTGCCATATGCCCATCATGGGTTTAATTGCATGGAGCTTGTTGTTGGTTTCAGTGCCCCATTCTAGCTGCCAAGTCTTTAAAAGAAATTTCTTTAAAAGTGGTTTAAAATCCTGGTAGGGCAGGTCAAAAATGCTATTGAATCTGTGGCAGATGCAGCCAGGCGATCTGCGCTCTCACTTCATGCTATTTCCGCTTGACTCGGTACCCAGCAAAATTTCATACTGCATCCAAAGCGAAGAGCTTTGTTTACTTTCAAACGAACATATTGTATAAGTACTATTTTTTTAGAAACCCTGCAAAAAATAGCAGATAAGACGCTTTGTGAATGGGCATAAATGACTGCGTTCAATGGCCCAGAGTATGCTCAATGGTTAATAAAATACCAGAGAGCTCTGCATTGAAGATGCTTGCCATTGCGTCAAGCTGCAAAGCTCTTCTAAGGTTACTAGTATAAAGGTCAAAGCCAACGGAACATAAAGATTTTGACCCGTCAGTATAGTACTTGATGCGACCTCTACGTATCCTTTCTTTCAAGGATAGAAGCTCTTGCTGAACAAACTGATGAGCAACGGTCTTCTTTTTAGCAAGTTATCACCACTAACGGAAGGTACGGGAGGTCGAGAGAGCTACAAATACTTTGAAGTCGAAAACCTAGTGAGCGCACTATTGTTGGCTTGTTTTTAAACAATTTACAGAATTTCGGGGCGTGTAAATTACCATAAGCAGGAACTTTTTTGATTCCGACAGCAATTTGTATTAATAATACAAGCTCAAGCAGTGTGGGTTTTTTTTTTTTTTTTTCAAGAGACACTTGATGTGTGTCTACATACAAGCTTAGTGCGGGTGATGTGCGAAGGGCTCCAGTGACCAGCCGGAGTCCGAGGTGATGAACCGGATCCAACATCCTTAGTGTGGAAGGTCGCGCCGAACCATAAACAATCGCTTCATAATCCACACGTGACCGGAATAAAGCATTGCATAACCGTCGGAGGCATCGCGTGTCAGTCACCCAAGATATATGCGACAGCACCTTAAGGATATTAGAGGATCGCAAGCACCTTCTGTATTTTTCCCCTTTAAATGAGACTTGAATGTAAGCTCTTTATCAAAACATCCTGCCTAAAAATTTAAGTTCGTGCCTCACCGATATTTCTGTGTTATTTAATTGAAAGATTGGATCCCATGACAAACCTCGTCGCAGGGAGAATGGCACAGACACAGTTTTCTTTGGGGAAAATTTAAAACCATTTTCATCTGCCCACTTGCTCATCCTGTTTATTGTGACTACAGTTGCCGTTCACAACTACAGAGGCTGCAGGACGAAAAAGATAATTGCACTTCATCCACTCCACGCATAGCCTCCTATATACTCTGTGCCTGCGCGTTGGCGCCGAGATCAAAGGAAGCCGACCGTCGCGCCAAGTTCCCGCAGTCACCACCAGGCGGCGCTGCCTTCCCAGAACAGGCAGGGACTGGCACCCGTGCTGCAGACGGCACTGACGGGCTCTTCGTTGTGCGTATATAAACGCGCCGAGCTTAAGTAAACAAAAGTGCGATACTAAAAAATAAGTATGGAAGAGAGAATGTACATTGAACAGAAAACCATACCATTAGGCCATGGCTAATAAACTTGTTTATTGCGTTTGAATTCATTCGCGACCTGCGGAAACGAATAAGAGGGTGCCGATCGAGAGTTTCATGAATCTACTTTCAACCACACGAGCTTTAGTCCAATCGTTGACGCTGTTCACAACCAGTAATCACAATTTTAGTACTTTTCGCTAAAGTGGCTTCACTT